TCATCTCAACACTTCTTGGGACCAGAAAAGATGAGTAGAGCATTGGTCGATTGCCAACATCATTGTCACTCAAATAAAGTCCGAAAGAAACCAACATCAAAGCTTACAGGAATTGCTGCGATTTTTCCATTTCTTACTCAGGGGACCTCTGGTGGGGTCGAATATTTCACTTTCTTTTTTATCGCTTTTTAATTAGTAGATAGACACCTTTATGTACCTTTTACTCCGAGGCGATCGTCTTTATTCATGTCTCCGGGTCAGCTAATTTTTTTCTTGTCGCCATGCTCAAAAGCGCTTTGGTTAAGGCCTGTAGTTGCTTCGCTAATTTCGATTTGTTGCAGAGCCAGACAAGTTTACGGAACTGTAAATTGTGCATAAATTAACTATTCTCGGCGTTTAACTAAATGTATGTATAGGAGTTTCTCATTTGTTTTCATGCTCGCGGTGGACATTTCAATCCAGCCAGGAGGCCTTAAAGTCACGATTGGGCACCTGTTTCGGAATCATTCATTGCCATCGCGTAGGAACCAGTTCCAGGCATGCATCTCCTGGCCAGCTTCCCTGCATGCACAGGCCTTGGCCACACGTACAGAGTGCATCCTCAGGATTAATTTGTTCAAGCCACATCATGTGTCTGTTTCTGGCTGTTGCTCTTTGGTTTCTCCACCCTCTTGCCCATCCACCCTCCGTTCTCTCCATACTCTCCACATTTCCATGCTCGCCTGGCTCACCTCAGTTCGGCTTTCGCCTCGATTCGCGTCGCAACGACCGCTTTCGTAACTCGACCTGTTGGTCGTGGCCGAAAATGTCGGAATGCCTGACACACACGGTCGGTAGGAGAACAGGCGGCACACCTTGACAAGCGTTAGTTTGGCCGAAACACACCTGACTGTTTTGCGTCCGGGCCTCTTGGAGCCTGTATGCCGCTAATCGCATGTTCCTCTATTCTGGCCGTACGTCATCACGATTAGACGAGCTCGGACACTTGCCCGCACCTCGACTTGCACCCATCTCCGCTCGCCTCCCCACTTCCACAGGTATTCTTCCCTCACATGTCTTCTCGTCCGCCTTGATGCCAGCATCTGGCACCACTTCCGCTGACTCATTCCCAGGTCTTAGTATGACCTCATACGGTTGGCACATGCACGCGGACGTCACACCCTCCACTCCAGCTCTCT